TATAATATATTATGTTACTGTCTCCCTGTAGTGATAAACAGATAACAGTAGATAGCTACATATTTGTTAAATCAACGATTAGATCATACTTTTGACATATGGATTAACTTTTTTAACTTTTGTTTCGATAATTAGCTTGCTCTATATACCTCGGCTCGGTATACTGTTCACATCTTTAACTTATTCTCACAGTTGTATGTTTTTTCTTATGTCAGCAGCGTCATATTTTAACACCCTCTTTTTAATAGTAGCTACATAATGGTTAACTATCTCTCATTCCACTTGTTATCAAGTGAAGATTAATCTGTATTAATACCATCTCATTAACAGCGTATTTACAGAAGGATATACAGATCCAGGCAAAATATTGCAATACTTTCTTGTTCTCCTGAGGAGCAAGGAAGCTATGGCTTAGTCCGAAATTCGAATCTATTACAGGATATAGGCAGACCGTGCATTTAATTTTTCGTTGGTAAAAAATGTTGAAAAGAATGTTTTCAATTCAAGAGCACACTCCCCAATGTATACCTTACTCCTCTGCTAAGGGCTGACTGAAAAACTTTACTTGTTAGTTTCTCAAGGGTTGTGGTCTGATATGAACTAAGACAGCAGAGCTCGGAAATTAGTGACATATACTTCGAGTGATAAGATGTGTATGAGGTGTAAAAACTTGTTCCTCGTTGGAACAAATCGGTGTAAAGATTGGAAGTTGAACGGAGTCTTAAGATTTTAGCCATCTGTCTTTCAATCGAGATATCCAATTTTTATACCGAATACCATAATTGGTTAGCGACAAATAATTAGTTGGCGACATTACACAGTCTGATGGACGGTTATAGAAGTTGTAGTTTGTATATATAAATATAATAGAATTCCACTAAAGCCGTGGCTATTTAAGCTGACAATTTAGGTTCGTACTAGGTACTTAAATACTTGGACAGCTCAAATTTTCAAATTGTTAGATTTCTTTGCTCATGCTGAAAAATTCAAAATTTTTATAAATAATGCAAATAGAACTTTGAAGATTCTACTTTATTGATATATTGGCGAATAGTCAGTTTCCATCTTAATATTAACTAAACAAATGCTGCACTTAATAACATGTATTATATATAATTATTAATTTCACTGAAATCTGAAGTCTGTTCCCTTAAGATTTTCGTTTATCCATTTCTCCGCTTCAGCTGTCATTTCCTCGTCAAAGTAATCTCTCCAACCTCCCACTTTACCTGCAAATAAAATTATTATCTCATTCATTAAAATGTTTTTAACAGTGTATTTGAAATGACAGTGTTTTTACCTTTTCTTATGAAACCGCCTTCACTTCTAAATATACCTTTTTCTTGCAAATCCTGAAAATTAACAGACCTGTTCTTCTTAAAATTATCTATTTTAAGATGTTCTCTCAGTCCTTCTATTTGCTCATCGGACAGTTTTTTATTGAAGAAGTCGGCCACCTTTCGAATGACTGCAGGTAAATCCTATTTTAAAAACAAAAAGTATAATTTTTTCATTTGAAAGTTACAGTATCGCCGTCTATTCTAGTGACTTTTTGAATATTATGTTTTTACTATGTTTTAAATGTAACCAAAATTCTCATTATGTTAAGGAAACTCTATTATAAATTTTTACCCCCCCTCGATGAAAATAGTAAGGGAGAGTTCTCAATAGTCAAAAAATATATCAATCAAAATGAAGACAAAGATTCTTTTTATAGTTACATTAGAAAATAATTTATCTTTCTTTTAGGTTTTGTTCATATTTTGACTTACATTTCTTTTCTAAATTATTATTACAAAAATTATAAAACTATAAAATATATATATTAAAATTTTACACCTTAGAAAGCTCTTCGTAAAGTAGGAACAGCATATTGGGATGGTCTCGCTTTTCAAACGCCTCTAGAAAACTAGCGAAATAAGGGCTCCAAGTCACTGTAAGGATGAAAGAAAACGAGCACGAATAAATTATATTTTGACTAATTTGTTCTCCTGAATTTTCATCAAAGAAAAAAACTTTATACTAACAATTACTGTTGATGAATTGTTTCCAAAATGATTTGAATTCTCGCTCCGATGACATGAAACGCATCAATTTGAAATGATAATAGTAGGATACAGCAACATCTCTCGGATCACGAGCTACGTACACGACCTGTACAGATTGAATCACATGTATCAAACGAATGTTTATTATCTAATTATTATAAATTATAGTTAATTTTGAAATCCAAACCATTTCATTAAATTCTTATTACCTTGTTGTTATCTAATAGAGTTGGTGGAAGCAAAGACAGAGGTAAATGACTTTTTAAAATTCTCTGCGAAGGTAATTCGTTCAATTGTTGAACACTGAAGGGCATAACAGTTTTTTCAAGAGGATCCCTCTCTTCATTAGACATAAGATCTACATCCATGAAACCAAGAAGTCTGTAATAAAACATGTGTAATATTAATATAAATATTAAATATATATTTTTTTAATTTATTGATTATGTTTACTCTATAAATGGCGATCTTTCCGTCAAAGGGATACTTTTTGCTTTCTCATAATCTAAATCGTTTAATATTAACCAAACTAATTCTTGAGTCCACGTAGTTCCTGAAATAATAAAACATGTATACTAAAGTCATTTACTTATAAACTTTTCTAGATTTCACTACAACGTTGTAAACTATATTAACCTGATTTTGGGAAACTGACAACAAATACATCGTCAGGCCTGAGAGGAAAATTATAAATTTCAGCAGCATCTTCCGTGTAGCCCTTAGAGACTACGTAACCTTTAGGACCCACGCGGTAGTAATTCAAAGACACTCGTATATCTTAAACCACACACATACATTTAAATCAACCTATGAACATAAAATTCAATAAACAAATCCAACTATATAATGAGATCTAAGATTTTCGCGAGTATTCACTTTAATGAAACTAATATTTTCGGATTTACTACGTGATTTTTATTTTTGATTATAAAGTAAATACTTCCGACGTTTTGGTGACTGTAAAGTAAATAAAATATTAGCTTCATTTAATAATACTCTCAAAATTTTAATGGACTCTCAAAAATTTTATTTCAACATTTTATTAGACTACATTCAGTAATATTACGATTTTTTCTTCCACACTGATACTTTAACGAGAATGAACCTTTTGAACACTTTTAAGGTTACATTAAACATTTAATTACATGTTTAGAACAGCTATGGAATTATATTTTATTTCAAATGAACATTAAAAAACATATAAGTAGTTGTTAAAACAATCGATTTTTAGGTTTTTTAGACTAAACCAACCAATTAGGGCTGGGGACTGCTAAAGTTGAGACAGGCAAAATACTATATAAAGAATTTAATTCATCAAAATACCATTTTAAATAATATTGTTCATAAACTGTGATATCACAAAAAATATTAAACTACATTTACTACATTATAAATTTTAATAACATAAATTCTTTTGAATGGTAGTTTTAATGACATTGTTAATTTGATGGTAGGTTTGTACTCTTTTTAAAAGAAGCTTCAATAACACCTACCTGCAAAGTAACCTTTGAGTTGTTCATTTTCTTCCTTATTAAAGGGTCTCATCTCATAAGGAAAGTCCTTAGCCATCTTCCTAATAGATGCGGTATAGATTACTGTTCAAACAGTTTTTTGATTCAGTTGAGAATAATATATGGTATCTACTATCAAAAACGTTTATCCATAGGAAGACAGAATTAGATATTAAAGCGATACTGAAGAAATAACACAGCTAAACTCACTTGAATAAATATAAGACATATAAACACTTTATCTTTACTATCAAGGATTTTTGATAAAAATACAAGTTTTTTCATAAAATATTCTTTTATAATGTTTACATTTGAATAAGTCAATATTAGAACATACTTATTATACTTACATACAATATGTTTAATATTAATTCGTTGGCCTGTTGTAAAATCGATATATGTATGTAATATTTCACATCAAAATTTATAAGGCTAATGTGTTATTTAAATGCCAAAAAATATTACTCTGCTTTGACATGATAAGCCAAAATTGTAGTCTAAAATGTAATAAATAATGAAGTGAATATATAAATACAATTCTTTGAAATATTATTTACTATTTCTATAAATTTCGTACCACTTCTACAAAACAAAACAGTCCTTCTTCATTCTCTACTGGAAGTAGATCTCGGACGCTCTTTAATTACTAAGAGTATGTATACACAATACTATTTTCTTAAGATTCAAAAGGTGCAATGCTGTAAACAAAATTTGTTATCATCAGGTATTCTTATCTTTAATATCCTTCGACACACTTGATGAATGAAAAACAATGGAAATGTTGAATTAAACATTCTGATTAATCTGCTTGCGCTGACGTTTACTTACAATGGACTGAAGACAGAAATGAATCTGTTATAATACTAAGAAAATTGAAAAAGACGATCAGTTTTTCAATACTTTATCTTCGTATCGCTCACGTCTCCACAACGAGGTCAAGGACAATCTTATAAGAAAACCGTAACTAAATATAAATCAAACAAATTGATAGCAAAGACATACTCGGATAACGAAGTGACTTTATTAGTTAGACTAATATAAAGGTAGATGCAATAAATAAATATAGAACAGAAATACTTATTCAAAATTTAAAAACTAAATTCTTTGAACACATCTATTTACTTATTTAAATAACATATTTTATATTTTCATTACACTAAACGTGACGATATTATAATTTCTTTGTTACTGAATCATGCGATACGTGTAATTATTTCTATTTGTAAACAAGGTGAATATCAATTATATATTAATAATTTGTATCGTAAATTAACTAGTCAAGTAGTTAGTCGTAATAAAATGGACATCGTCAAGAAAACATAAGACAGTTTTTTTTTAATACTTATATTATTAAAGAAAATAAATAAATTACTAGAAATTAAATCGCATAAACAAGGCACACAATACAATTACAGTTAAATGGAGTAAGGCGGATATTGATTTACGAGGAGGCTAGAACTACTTCGGGGATTTTTTCTGAATCTTCTATACGCCTGCACATGAGGGTGACAGGGTCTCTCTGACGGCCCGGACCACACTGTTCAGTAGCACCAATTAATTTCATCTCATCTTCTTGTAACGGTTCCGGGTCTGTGTGTCGTCTGCTGGCTATCACTATCTCAGCACTTTTCCCGTCACTATCAGCATATTTTTCAGTCTCTGGACCAATTTCGACACGGTACGGTGTGCTGGGCTCCACAAATGCTTCCATTACTTGTACATCTGCTCTGTCCTGGGCAATCGGCTCGTTACCGCTTTTGGAGCTCTTCGAGAATAGATCTAGGAAATAGGGAACTTTTTTCGGCAACGCTAACAATAGGACGACATTCTGCACGTCTGCATGCACATTGAATTCGCCCTCTTGTCTTTGATCGTATGGAGGTGCAGCGGCAGCTACTGCAAGCGTGATTGCGAAGAAGACCAGCATCGTACGTGCTGCTTGTGAACCTTTCGGAATAAGACTGTCCGATCTCAATCCTCGCGCAGCTTTTACCGAGTACTGGCGAACCAGTCGTCACTAAATCGGGCACATTGTAACGGTTCTACCGACACGATAGTGCTTTTAACTTTACATACGGTTTACTTATACTTATATGATTATAGGTTGACTAATCGTAAATGATATCTACATTTATAATCGGATATTCATCTATTAAACTAAAGTTACGATATGTTTTATCTTTAATTTTATTATTTATAAACAAGTCTTACAAATCTCTATCCATAACTTTATTAGGTTTATGAAAGCATTCCATCGTTTTTAATTTCTAATCACACTTTAAAGTTAATTGCTGCAATTTACCAATATCATTAACAAAATGGGGACATCGTAGCTTAGTGAAGTCTTTTAATTACTTAATGAAAATTCAAATACTTAAGATTAAAAATTATTGTGTAAATATTATTTCCATAAATTGTAATTTTATTTATATCGTGTTATGATGGATACGTCGCCTGTGTAACCTCTGATATTGACCGCGGGTCATCAATACGATAACCGAGTTTCCTTTAAACTGCGCACGCGCATGTTTTCAATCTACGATCCAATAAATTCTTTAGCTATCCTTGCTATTACGTAATTCTGTCATATGAACTTAATTTTATTAGCACCTTATTTTAACTTTTCATATTGTTACTATAAAATTCCCTTACTGTGTAGGTATCTCTAGGAAGTATTTAAAATTATCGTTCTTTTCATATTTAAAAGTAATTTACATCTAAATGTCCTAATACTTAAAAGACTTTTTATTATATATATTGTCCTTATATTGGCTCAAATGCTTGTAAACATTACACTATAAACCAATAGTGTTAATTAAAGTACCCTAGACAGAAGTGGATTGAAATAGATTTTCGAAAATATACTTTTAATTTAGTATTTTTTGCGAACATTAATCCTGGCCGTAGTCTGTGTCTAATTTCTTAGAATCCGTTAATGACGTTCTTTATTTTAATTAAAATTAAACATACGACCTCATTGTCTTCGTTTGATTAAATTAAAATAATAAAACTGTCGAAGTTCGGAGTCTAGTTTCAATTTTTTCCTTCTGTAAATGTATCTATGTAACCGTTTAAGAGAGATACAGCTTCCTTTAGATTTGATATTGATAAAAAATATTTTTTTAGATATGAAGTGGATTGAAACACGTGTTCTCATTTTGTGTTAATAAATCATTTGAATATAATTTATCTCCTATTACATTAATAGATGTCTACCGGGAATTTAATATCTCAGTAGCTCGCTAACTACCGATTGGTTTACCTTCTATTGAAAGGAATTAAGTGGATTTTAAAAACATGGCTTGACAACCGAATACTTTAAGCAATTTTTCTGGCGTACGTCTGTATTAACAATTAGAAAAATATATTAGCAAAAATCCCATGGAAATGTATGTTGTCTTGATATTTATCATTCAATTAGCGATTTGCTCTATTTCAAATTCTTTAAAGATGTTCAAGAAACTTTATATTTTAATAAAACCTCCATGTTATTTAATGTAGAACAAAAGCTGTACTGTCATATTTTTTTATTATAAAATATGGAGAACACTATAATAAAATGCATGACTTTCAAGTAACTTTAATTAATATTTTTGGTTGTATATGGTCATTGTGCAGATTAATAATATTATGTTGTTGTGAAACTAACTTTAAAGATCTATGTCTCATATAAAAATATTATTATTTTCGTTAACAATTAAATTCTAGGCATCAAGAGCATAAATTAGAACAATAAACTCTTCAATAAAAATCAGAAAATGGATTTTTCAATAAGAATTTTTATTTATTTTCAACAAAACAATACACATACATTCGTACATATCTTAAAACTAATATTAGATTACAAAAATAAATGCATTTACGTATCACTCTTACAAAGCCTTTACGGCATTTATATTCTTGGCATCATCTTCGGATCACAATAAATTTTCAATGGTTGCGGTTTTTTCGTAATAACGGTATTAGAACGCTAGCGAGACGCTGCTTTAGTCTGAAAAAATATGCTTTATAAGAACAGAATTAAACGAGGAGATGAATTTTGTTTTTTAGTATTAGCTTGAAACTTTAAAAGTTCTTTAGGTGATGAAATAATGGTTAACATGAAAGGAATATTTTATTTATACAATATCAAAATATTAAAAGTTACCTTTTAACCTTTTCCTGCTTTCTAACAGAGGCATCTTTCTTTTGTAGATTAGCTCCGGGCTTTTGTTTCTCTTCGCTGCTTAATTTGTCGTTTAATATGTCCTCTATTGGCTTTGATGGTTTCATGTCGGAATCGGGCTTCAAATAATCGTCTAATTCTGCCATTTCCAATAAATCGTCGAAATAAGTCGACGCTGATAGAAAAGATTCAGCTGGAGCAACTGCTATGAGGACGCCATCTATATTAAGACGGTAATTTTCGGTGCCGTTTTGACGCTGATCAATCGTTTTCTCTTCACTGTCGGGGGCTGGAGCTGGGGCGGCACACGCTGCGGCAACTATCAGCAGTAGTGCCGCTACTTCGCATACAACTCGCTTGTAGTTGACCATCTCGTCTGTAGTCTGTACAGTCACTGACGACCGCCCGTGCTTGGGAGGCACACTTTGTACCCACTCTCCCGTGCATCTTTTATTTATTCGAGAAGATAGCGGTACAGGCAACGCGATCTTGCCGACCTACCAGTTGAGTTAAACTGGATGTAATAAAACGCTGTTAGGGCCGTTATAGATGCCCAATGTATATATATTAATGTATATAGTTATTATAGACCATATAGGTTTTCTATTAATAATTTATACTTCTTTGTATATGATAATTTCATTAGTTTAAGAATGTTTTAATTCATTTTATACAAATATACATAATTTAAAAAAATACTTCAGTTTAATATCAGAAATACTCTCTTATATCATAGTTTATGAAAAATACAATTTGTTGCCCAATAGATTTATTAACTTGTGTACGGTCTTCTAAGTTCTAGCGGAGACAATATACTTAAGCCCGGTGATTTTTTTATAGTTTAATATACCTAATTCATGTTAAATAATAATTCTTGGAAACCGGTTAAAGATTTGGGGGAAATTCGGATTGTTTAAAAAAGTTATTAATTCTATAATCCGATTTACAATAATAATAACGAATAAGAAGTTTAACTATAACTGGAATGTAGATGAAATACTCATAAGAATTTTATTTTATTTATACTGAAATTACCTGAACATAGACTGAAATGCTTAAGTAGTTTAATCTTATTTGGTAACAAATTTATGCTATACCTAAAAGAAATTCGTAAAAATTTCTATATAAAACGATTTAGCTGTGTGGAAAATTTTTATAGTACATAGTTGTGCGACAAAATAACTCATTATCACGGTCAGTTAGTTAAGATATTAAAAAAATACATTTGTGCTGATTTGTGCATAGATTATAGCTTCGTAATTAATCCGATATCATCGTAGATAAATAGTGTTTGACACAGATAGAATAAACAACCTGTTACGATGCGGCTGCGCTGGCACGCTAACTGTACAGCGCGAACGGTAAACGGTACACTTGTTTTGTTTTTATTTACTACTCATGGATTAATAGCCATTGCTAAATGTTCGACGTTTAGATCCAATGTTCTGATACGAGTAAGAGATTCTAGAATTATCTCAGAATATCTAAAAAGGTTTTATATTCTCATTTTTTTTTATTCCGTTGAAGAAAAACGAGCTCAGATTGTCGTTGTGCGGTTACAACGATCATAGCTAACGACGATTATGGATGTATCTAGATTTTTCCCTACATAGTTAGAATTTTGAATGCGTGAAACTAGTCCAAGAAATCCTACCACTTACAACTTAAGCGGAAATAAATATTTATTATAGATATAGCAATTATAAATAAGTTAAACGAATAGACTCAGCATTTAAAATTTAACAGTTTGTTTAATAACAGGTTTTTATTTAGTGGAACAAATTTCTTATTTGATGTCAAGCAGCCTACTTGCAGCCAAGTTTCCGTTCAACTTTTGCTCTCCTTTTTAGAACTGTATCGGCGCATTAAGCTTTTGCAAATGATATAGCAGAAAATTTTATTACTTTAACTCCCACAAATTAAATTTGAATAAGTATCTAATATTTATGATGTGTGAGTATGATTCATCAGCGGGTCATATTCTTGTGTTCTGACAAATTTTGTTTTACATATATAAACGATCTGTAAAAGTAGGTCTTACAATTTAAACTTGCATTTTTTATTTATTATAGGTATTACCTGTATTAGAAATTTAATATAACCAAGTTTCTGTGGGATGGTAAGGAATTTTATCACTTATAAATACGGTTCTTATGAAACCCAACTACATTTAAGGACTTCTTGCAAGTAACGGCTTAGAATGAAAATATCTATATCTACTTACTTAGTAAGAGAAAATATAATTTTATATGTATTAGTCAACAAAATTTTATGATCTTGATTTTATGTTCTTTTAGGTTTCTCTCTGTACTGAGCTTTCCATCTGTGGCCTTGTCAAAATACTAGCAGTAAACATTTGATTGCAGTAATTTACATAAATAATTTTATTCCTATGAAATTACCGAACCCAAATGCAAATATAACTTTCCCGTAGTTAACTGATGTTAAAGGCACTTAAAGATTACTAACAAACTTCAAATATGCTTGAAATTCTAAATTACTTTCTAATTTTAAAATACATATACAATGTATGTACCTATGGCTTTTGTATGTTTCTACTATTATGTTCCATGGCATTGCTTTTTATGAACATTCCATAATTATAAGTTAAAACTCCATTTAAATTAGTTAACGTTAATAATCTTATTTATCTATAATAATAGTCTTATGCTAAGAAGACATCGAAGATTTTTTCTTAACACACTCGGGAGAAAAAATTGACAAAAAGAAGAAAAGATATTAAGATTCTGAAAATATGATATGCAAGCTATGATCTCTGAATCGGAAGAAAAAGTTATCATGCCAAAACTTGTGATAACATTCTTGTACACTTTATACTTTTCCTTATTTAACTTTTAACATTTCATTTAAAATGAAACAAAAACCTTCGTTACATACATTCTCTTTGTTCTAATATCTTATCAGTCTCATCTATTTCATGGAAGGGTCGGTCACTGACTATTTATAAATACTGATTAAGTATTAAATTTTAATAAAATGTATCAATTGGGTAAACTGGTAATTATGTGTCTAAATTGGTTACAGGTGTTAACTATATATGAAGAGGTGTAGGACTGTATATACTATTTTTTATACCATAGAATAAGTTTTGCGAATGCCAACCGCCTGATACTAAATAGTCACTTTGATCTCTGCAGAGCGCAGACCTTCATTTTCTTCTAGCACGTAAAATGTAGTACCAAGTTTTTATTATCATCTGGATAGCCAAAACTAAGGAAAACTAAATAACTAACAAGGAAAATAGCCAAAACTATTCACAACATGTATTCAGACCCTGGCTAAAGCTGGGAAATTACCAGGTAGAAGAAGACAGGATGCAGAGATTGATGAAAACAACCATACACCCCTAAACATTATAGAAATGTTTCATGTTTGATCATAAAATCTAGTTTTCTATGTAGAAAACATTGAAACAAATTCTATCTAATTTATACATTTACTTTAAATATACAGATAAAACTAGTCTGGATTCATTGTATATTGCAGTTTCAGACAGTCAAGGTTTTCAGACTAGGTAATTTTTTCCACAATGTATATGGGGTCAATGGCCGGAGTAATTAATTCCCACCAGACAAAGCCATGCTGCTAACCAATTCGCGAGGGTTTCGGTAACTTATCCAATATTTTTATTGCGTTGAATGCTTGGTCATGCGGGATCTAAAGACGGATGCTCCGTCATCTTGAAGACATCAAATTTTCTATTGTCTAGATTAAACAATAATAAGTAAACATTAATGTTGGCAAAATAGTTTATATTGGAGTCTACCGGCTACCCCGCAATTATATTATTTGTATTAGAAAGGTGGCAAACAAGCATATGGGCTAATTGTTGGGCAGTAGTAATGTTGCCCATGGATATGCGCAACAAGAGAGATGTTGTGGATGCGTTGCCAACCATAGTTGTTGAGAAAAAGGGAGGGATGAGGATAAATTCGCCTTAGCAACAACAATAGCACAAAATCACACTTACGTAATTGCGGTTTTTCTACGACAGAGATCCGTATAAATAATAAACAGGAACTGAGAACTCTGCGTAAACATTAAATAAACAAAGCTAGTGGTTCGTCTAGTATTCATACCATAGCGCTAGAAACATCTGCACCCCACTTTTTTTCATTTTTGACACGTATGTTATGACTAAATCTTTTAAGCTTGCAAACATGAAACCTAATATGGGTAAGAATTGAAGAAGTACAGATCCTGCATTATCAATTTTCAATTACCTCAGTCATCAATACTTGTTTGCGTTAAGACTAAATATATTTCCCAAAAATGTTACCAATTGTTTAAAGGTGATTTATCAGAAGATTATACTTTTTAGACTTACTTTAAGTGGAGTTTTTGCAGAAATACGCAAATTGGTTAAAGGAATAAAAAGAGATTTAATAATTAACAACTGTTTATTAAGAACAAATAGTCCTTGACGTCAAAACTTAAAGAATTATAATACTTTCATATCAAACGCGTAAAACTGCTAAGGTTAAAACTTCAGTTAAGGCACTTTACAAATTATGTTTCCTAATTTTAAATTACAATTAACATTAACATTCTAAAATTATTTTTCGCGAAATTATTTTCGTGAAATTTCATGAAATCATAGTTGTAGTATGAGAAATCAACTGGTACTACTTAACAAAAACAAATCAACATATAAGAAAACTGTTACACAAGAAAATATTAAACAATTACATAATATCATTTCAATATCATTAATTCCTTTTCAAAAAGTTACTGGAAGACAGTTGACAAACACAGTTGTTTAAGAAGATTAGACTTAAATAGTTAAAAATACCTAACATCAAACAAATTGAGTTTATTTTGTTTTTATATATAATAGTGGCTTTTCTAATAACAAATGTAAATTGTTGAATTAATTCAATAAAAAGAATGATCAGTACTCATGGAACCAAAAATTATAAAAAAATAACATCCTTTAATAAACCAAACATTAATCAGTCTTTAAACTAATTTCTAATTAATTTTAGGCAATTTTATTGTATCATTTTATTTTATTCTATTATTGTCATACCATAAAAGTCACAGTACAATTTTTAAAGTAACATAAATTGTGAAAAATTTATTATTGTATACTATTATTGTCATTCCACACATATAAACTTACAGTTTGAACCAACTGAAACACTCCTTCGTTAGTAGTTTACTTCATAATGTCAATTAAATATTATAAAATTTTGTTATTAATAGAAAATTAATATACAACACTTATAAGTACTAACAACTAAACAAAATCAATCACTTACATTCTTAGTTCACTCCAGGCTACCAACCATACAACATCATTTAATATTTATTTTTTTTTAAGTTTAGGCTTCATTCACAATGGAATCTTATAATTTTATATCAATGCAATGTCAATGTTTCCATTTGTTAAACAATCACTTAATAATAATGTATATACAATATTTATATAACAATTTCAAGATACCAACATTACTCAATTACATTCTGCGTATACTCCATGGCTACCAACCTAAGGATATGTTCAAAGAATCCATCACCATGTCTTAGACGGTAGAGAGATGTGTCCAAATAACGTTGTACTGATGTCGCACAGCTGAATGTAGGGCACGGCAATGAGCATAGATCACGAGATGCTGTACACAAGGACACTGCCTGACTCCATATACGGGTACTCACTGTTGAAATGATTTTATTAAATGTTAATACATAATATTATTTGTTTAATTCCTAATATGGACACTGTAGGGCTATATCTAGTCACTGTTTCACTACTACACCCGCCTAGAACGCAGGCGCACGTCCCCGTTTTGTTCCGCGCTAGTCGTGAGACTACCAAGCAAATACCGCCCTCTAGTGGGGTACGTGAGACAGTGTATTATATCTATTGTATAGATACAAACACTACAGACACGATAGTATCTCATATTTGAAAAGCGTCAAAACCTTACAGTGTTATATTGAATATATCAATATAGATCTAGCCAATAATATGTAGTTTTATTTTTGTGTGAAAAACAAACTCTAAAACTGCTTTGTAATTTTAACAATACCAATAAAGGACTTATTTAGTTTTCCAATTAATTATGTTACACTGTATTTTCTAATTTCTTTTCTTATTTTTATCATTTTCTCACTTTAGGTTCAGAATAAAACAGTTCCTCAATTCCCACTTATTAAACTACATAAGGCAATTCAATAAATAATAAGGTCTTATTCTGAGTAATCTATTTCAGTTTAATACTTACAAAAGTGCTGCATTTCAGGATCGCAGTGCTGCAATAGTGTTGTCAGCGGCACTGCGCTGTTTGTACTTGGCATGGTACTTCCAGAAACAAACATAGATTGACCCATAACTGTATTTGATATCACCCTTTCTATTTCCTCTTTCATACACTGAAATGTTTTAGAATTTTGGTATCAAACTTAGAAGTAGTCATATGTAAATATTGCCAGCTATGTTGATAGGAGAAAAATTGATGACAAGCTTAGATGGATAATAAAGAATATTTGATTGAGTCTGCTTGTTGTAAAAGACAATTGCAATTTTTTATCCTTAAGTAAATTACCTGAATTCTTATATATAATAACTACACATCCATAATTAATATATACTGTTCTTTAAGTAACATTTGTATAATCCAGTTATATCTAATTTTGGCTAAGGCTGACTTTTATTGTTTTAGGGATAAAAGAAATAAATCAAATATAAGAGATCTAAAGTTACACATATGATTATGATGGGTTATTTTACCTGTTCATTATTTACATGTCCAGGTAATTTCCTGAGATCCTCTCTGATTACATGTAGCCTATAATGGGTGGGTATTTGCTGAAAATAGATGGAATAAAGTTAAAGATTATAATAATTAATTAATATCTTGCAGGTTAAACATAACTAACTCACTTTGGTATCAGCCAGCATTAATATTCTATGAACATGGGGTTGCTCGGTTGTATCCGGTGATAAACTATTCATACAATCAGGATATAACTCACTTAGTACTACAGTATTATCACCTCCTAATTTACTTTTTTCTAATTCGTTTATAACTAAATCATCAAGCTTGTCATAGATAAGACTGGCGACTCTTGGCTTTACATCTGAAAAATTATATCAAGAAAATAAAAATCTGTGAAGTAACAATTAATTTCTTATCATTTGATTTTTGTAAAGTAAGGCATGAAATTAAAAGAACAATACTGTGATTATAGCTATAACATCAAACAACATTTCATTTACAAATACTTACCAAAATATTGTTATGAGAGCATGGAAAAATAGTAATGTTTCACAATTAATAGAAAAAACATTACATACATTATTGACTTTTGATATTACTTTTAGATTAATTTTAATCTTACCAAAATACTGAGCTGCGCTATTGAGTTCAGCATCTTCACACCAAGCCAAGATTAACTGGAGAGTTTGTAATATTGTACACTGTAGCTTGAAGAAGAAGGACCCAGTCCTAATAGGTTGCCGTTTGTTACATCCTTCACAAACCCACTGGACTCTGAAAAATATAATATATAGCTTGTTGAAGTCATTTAATTCATTCCTTTCAATTTAAATGAAACTAATGCATTTCGGATTTTACTTCGAGTTTTTTATTTTTGATTATAAACAACATACTCCTGACGTTTCGGCTACTTTTCAGCAACCATAATCACGGGCAGACGAGATGTGAGTGTCTGTCCGTTCGATTTGATAATATTTTTTAAAACAGCAAGAATAAAAACAAAGAAGGTGGTTCAGTATCAGGATCCAATTACGAATGATCATATATCTACACTTAATACAACTACATACATACCTGTCTATGACCCGTGCTAATTTACGTACAACTTTGCATGTAGGCGCATCTTCAGGACATGTTATATTTACTGGTAGAAGCCCAAAGGCCTGCAGTTTTGTAATTAGCTGACTTTCTAAACTACGATTTCCACTGTCACTCACCAATTCTTCGTACAGCTTTAGATTGCTATAAAAAAGGAAACACTAGACATAAATCTTCTTTATTTTTAATACTAAAGCCTGAAAAAATACCACTTACGCTGGGTTACAATTGAATGGTAAACAGATTTCACTATTTGATGATTTTCGATTGTCTTCATAAGTTGTCGAATCTGCTTCCATGTTTACAAAACTGTATGTCATTTGTTATGAAAAGTAAATGTGCACATTATTACTATAAACACAAATTTTTAGAGTTATCTAATTTGTTTGTTCTGTAAACGAATTCTCATGATAGTAAAAATTAGTAAAGAAAATTAAAGTCTGTATACATGTTTTTTTTCATAATAAATTAGTTGTCACAAGTGTCAAATTAGTAACATCTCAAAAATTTTGTGTGTAGTATTGGTATTCAAAAGTGTCATAACAAGACATGTACCTAATAAGGAACCTATACAATTTAAATAAATGTTAATTATTTAAAATATAAACAGGATTTAAAATTTGGTACAATTATTATTTCATAAAAAAATATTTTATTATGTACTAAAACAATATTTTAATGTTTACTAAAAATTTTCAATGTGTAGTGCTATTTAATTTTCTCAAACGTAGAAATAGGACAACGAAATGTAAAATAAATATGAACTGTCGAATTTGAGGTGATTAACCTTACAAAGTTAAAATATTTAATTTTTAGGGAGTTATACTTTTAATTTATGATAGGTTAGTTTGTTTTAATTAGGATATAAAAACATATTAGCTACCTATGTCCTTATTTAATCATACTTCAGATAAATGTAACTCTGTCATGGAATTACGATCAATATAAAAGTAGATATTAAAATACTTATATACCGAAAAAAAAAATAACAAGTATAAATCGTTTTTCATAAAAAATTGTGATCTGGATAAATAAAAATGTAGTGTGATTTGCTTATAAATATATTAAATATATTTTGGCTGTTATGATGGCAACAAGCCACTATTTGTCAGTTAATGACTTGAGTTTCAAGAGACTCCGTTGTGTTTTTACTCCTTCCGTAATCTTTCTTTTAAATTTTGTTTGTAGTTAGTATAACAAACGTTTAGAATTCATTCATAAATGAAATTCTTCGTGTAATCCACTTTTTTATCATCCTCTCATTATATTATAGTGTTTTGTTAGTTTAGACAGTACTTCAGTTTGATTTATTGTTGATACTACGGTTATTGCAGCAAAATGGTACGTATACCTAGATGTATTTTAATTAAAATATATTTTAGTGTAAAGAAATTGCTTTAAAATTCATATGTAAATGTGTGTATGTATATATGTTTGTATTCACTAAATTAAGTATTATACTTTCATTAAATTTACAAAAAAATATTTTACGAACCACTTAAGCAAAAGGTTCATATTCTGCTGAACATGTCCCTTTTTTACTGCAAATTAAAATTTATATGCATTTCTCTAATAAGATATTTTAATTATTATAATCACATTAATAAGTAGGAGTACATTAAAAATAACAAATAATTATTACACCTACCTATTATTAGCCTATAGAAAACAACAAAAATCTTAACAAAAATATTAAAAAATATATACTACTCATACTTTTTTTAATTCTAAAAATAAACTTTTTTGAATATAAATTCTAAGATCACTAGCCTGTAACAATCAACACATGTTAAGTGGTCATAAATAGTATATTGTGGCAGAGAGTGATATGTATGTGGCTATTGTTTCATAAAAAAATGAGCTTTGTTTCACATTTATGTGTATAAAATATACAAAAAATTTATTATTTATTTTCTTCCCAATTAAGAAATAAAAAAAACGGATTTCCTTAAGTAAGATATTTTTCTTTAATAAGAGTATTTAATTTACAATACCTGGGAGCATATATATTTAATATTTATATAGTATATAAATATAAAGTATTATTTAACTGTACATTTTTGATACAAATATTTTTACATAGCAACTGAAGGCCGATACATTGAAATATTCAACATGTAAGTGGTAGAACATGTTTCATAACCAAATTTTCTGTTATTCCACGGTTTTTAACCTTTACACGACACACGATCTATATTGGCGCGAATCCCGATAAATTGCAAATATGCTTAATATATCCCGGATATATCCCGGATACAGATGAAGGTAGAATTAAATTATTATTGGGGAAATACAATTTGATTCCTTTGATCGGAAACATACGATATAACATTACGTCCTGCGTTTCTCCGACATTAAAAAAGGCTCTTTCCTTTGCCATATATAGTTTTATAGTCCCAGAACAGTGAATTGCGTAGGCGCATTTTAATTTGTTCACTGTTGACTAACCGTTAGGGCAAAGATGTTGGCACTAAAACTTTCTAAATTACCATAAAATACTTTCGTTCCTTCTTGTAAACAATGTAAATGTAGGTATTATTAAAGTATTTACAAAATTTACTCATACATGAGAAATGTGAGAGAAGAAATACGCCTTAACAAATAGGGATTTAATGTTTTTTTTTTGGTTTCTGGTGAGATTTTGACTAACTATTCTAATAAAAATATATTTTCGGTATCGAGGTATCGAATCATTGAATTACTTCGATAGGCTAATATAAATCTTGTTGCCACGATGAATATAAAAATATTACCTACATTCCATCTCACTTACGTATATGCGAGTCTATAATTAAACCTAAGCTATAATCAATAATGTAGTGTAATTTGTTTAGAACAGTAATCTAGCTTCTAGAATCACGTTATCTTGTAATATCAAGTCTAAATTCACACGAGAGCAAAAAACAATAATAAGAATGCTATTTTACTCCGAAACAATTGTTTCGAACTAATTGTCACACTAAACTAATCAAAAAAGCACAAAACTTTTATTGAAGCATTCGAATCGTGTCACTATAATTAGTTTAGATCGTAAAGGTCTAGATTTTTCCTAGAACGAGCTGTCCCGTCTTTCATCGCTCACGTCGATCGTTCTTGGAAGATCTTGGCACTTTATAAACTACAAAAGGAAGCCATGAACTCAAACCATTTTATAATATATGGCCATTGCGGTTAAAGGAGCTGCCTATGATCGGAGAGTAACGTGGAGCGTTGCCAACTCACAGCATCTAGTGCAGATTACTTATACATGCTTGAAAACACCTGTATACATCGCTACACCCTGTATAACACAAGTTCTCATATATCAATCTATCAGAAAAATTCTAAAGAGCTTGCAGGCATTCAATTTGTTGGTTTTATTGAGATCGTCGAACGTGGGTACATTGCAACCGTTAAGTTCTCACAGATAACAAATCAATGAGCTTAAGAAACAGACTCCCAAATATTAAATTGTGATTATTTAATATAACTACCTGTAATTTCTTTCAGAAACAAATTCGTCATTCATGAAATATTTTTCTTAAGTATTTAATGTACGAACTAATTAAACAAACAAACAAAGACATATAAAATATATATTGTTAGTACAGGGTGGGCCATGAATTAGTTAACATTTGAAATAATCATTTAAAAAAAACTATTTGACATATTTTAAAAATTGCTTTATTAAAAGAAAGCTAATTAGTTGGAAATTATTTTTAAAAAATCATATCATCTAAATGACCACCATTTCGATTTTTACACTCTTCTAAGCGAGTAACGAAATTTTCGAATACTCGTCCGCACAGAAACCGTGAGATCGTCGATATCTTTTCGCTGATTTTTTCTTTTAGTTGACGTTGTGTATTTGTTTTATCGATGTAGACACGACTCTTTAAATAACCCCATAAAAAGAAGTCAGCTGGGGATAGATCTGGACTTCTGGGTGGCCATGGAATGTCACCTCGTCTGGAAATCAGCCTTTTCGGAAACATTTCTTTAACCACCGGCAGGGACTCGTTGGATGTGTGACAAGTGGCTCCATCTTGTTGAAACCATGTGTTACGATTGTAGTCAGAAAATTCCAGTAGCATCGGTGCCAAAAACTCCCGTAACATTTTCACATACCGAGTAGAATTAACAGTAACTGAACGGCCGTGAGAATCTTCAAAAAAGTAGGTTTAATTATTCCTTTTGCTGAAATTGCAGCCCATACAGTTATCTTTGGAGAATGAAGTGGCCTTTCGTGTTTAGCTTTAGGATTGTCACTGCTCCAATATCTGCAATTCTGTTTGTTTACATGTCCGTTAAGATGAAAATGGGCTTCGTCAGAAAATAAGAGGTTCTCAAAATTACTGAATCGATCTTGCAGTTTCAGCATAGGACTTGCGTAAATTTAAATCATTAGGTTTTAGTTCCTGCACCAATTGGATCTTATACGGATGCAATTTCAAATCTAACTTCAAAATACGGCGTAACGATGTGCGGGATAATCCTAATTCAGCCGAACGTTCGCGCGTCGATAAACCTGGATCACGTCGAACAGAAGCAGAAACTTGCTGTACGTTCTCTTCGCTCCGAGAAGTCAGTAGGCCGCCGGTTTGCTTTACATTTAGTGTAGATCCCGTCTCTTCGAACTTCTTCACCCATTTCTTTATTAAAGGACCACTCGGACACTGACTTAAGTCGTGTAAATCATATTCACCACGAAATAAGCGTCTCTAAGTAATAAGCGAATTGTTGTTTAAATAAAATTGTTTCACACAGTAAGCGCGCTGCGGCCCCGTGAAGCGATCCATTGCTACAAAATTTCCGAGAAACGAGCTAGTGACAAGACCCCTCCCCGCGCCCCGCGCGGCATTTATTTGCGTAGGGTATTAGATTCAAATGTTAACGAATTCTTGGCCCACCCTGTATTTGTCTTATCATTAACTTCAATAAAGCCGCAATTGCTATTTATTAGTTAATTAGAGTCGTGCATTAATGACGCAACGTAAATTACAATAATCGCGAGATCAACGTATGCTGCATAACTTCAAAAACACATTTCCTCAGTAGGGGAGGGATGCGCACGCGCACTTTGTATTATGTCCGTGTACTAATTAGCTAGTTATTCAGTTTTTACTGCACACAGTACCCGTGATTGCTATACACCTGGAGATAATGACTCATAATTATGCCTAACTAGCTTTGGTCTTCGACTTTGCTTGCTCAGAATTAGATTTAAAGAAATTTATTTAAAAAAAAAAAGGTTACTAACCAGCCGTGCTATTAAAATTAGATCATAATCTATGTCATGGGACATCTTATAATAGAAAAC